AGGTTTCTTATTTGTTCACATGCTGCTGCAAGGCAGTATTGGTTTTGTTACTGGTTGGTATTGGTTTTGTTTGTTTTCTCTTCATATGCAATAGTGCTTCTCCGATTCAGAAATATTTTATTTCAACTTCTTGCTTAACTGTTACATTTAGAGCATTTAAGCAAGGTTATGTGATTCGTGATTGCCCCCCCCCTTTTTTTTTTTTTTTTTGCTTTTCTGTGCAAAACAATCCCTTCTCCTACTGATATAGCACATAGATGAAAGTGAAAAGTCTTAAGAACTCAGCGAATTTCAGCCTACCATGCTAGAAACTTTTTCCTTCTGCACCAGCGTGTGTTTGCTCCGAAGCACTGCAGGGTGCTCCTTTTCACAGGTCCTCTCAGAGATCAACTCACGTTCCCTTCAGTAAAACCTTCTTTCCTGTAAATTGTTAACCCCGTGCTCCACAGCTATTTCAGCACTGTGATGTTAATATCTTAAAAATCAGATATTTCTGAACGGTCCTACCAGAGAGATTTGGGAGAAGTCTGAGTCATCTCAATATTTTAAGTAGTGCCATCAAGCAATAACTATGTTCTTTATATGTATGTCTATATCAAATAGGTATTCAGATAGCTCCCTGTTATTGTGCATGAACTTAACATATTTCTTCCATTGTAGATTTCTGTCCTAGTTCCAGTGGTTTCCTACGTTATAAAAATATAGGACACGCTTAAAAAATGGGAGAAACGTAAAAAATTCTGTTCCCTTCATATGGTTACCTGGTCACTGTTAATAAGGCATCTGAACATCGCTCCACAAGCGCTGGGGTGGGGGGGGAGGTTGTGTTATTAATATAGCTTCAAAGAGATAGTTTTTTAGTGTAGTCTAGAACGGAGGCAACAATTAACAGTAGTAAGTGATTTCTTCAGTAATTTTGTGCTTGGGAAATAACCTTGTCCATGTTTTCCAAATTCAGCATGTTATCCTAGTTTTAATACCTTTCCCTATTGAATTCAAGCACAAGATACTGTAGCAAATATAATTCTTTGGGAGGGTAGATTTAAACGACAGACTCAGATTTTTTTCTGATAAACTATTCCTATGGCTTTTTTTTTTTTTTTAAGTGTGTACTTCTTAAATTTTTATTAGAACTTAATTTTTGACAAGTTAACTCTTACCTAAAATATAATAATACCTAGGATAACTCAGAATCAGTAAAAGAAAGTGTTTGTTCCTTTAAAACAAAAAAGGAAAAGGAAGGCTTTACTGTTTGAGTCATGTTTAAATTAATCATCTTTTCTGTGTTGTAAATTTCAGCCCTTAATGATGTATATCTCAATGAAGAACAGAGTGAACTTTAAGTGAAAAATCCATGTTGTTCCTGTTAAGGGACAATTGGAAACGTGATAAAGACAGATGGCGGGCTATTTTGTTACACCTGCAATCTGCAAAAGCTTGAACAAAAATTAGGTGAAGAATATTTTTGTAATTGCCCTTTCAATGAACTTGCATAAATTTTTTTCTTTCACTTACTCAAAGGACGTTGATGACCTTATTTGGATTACCAGATTATCGTATATTGAAATATTATGCCATTTATAGAGTTAATCCATTTGAGGTAGAGTTAATCCATTTGAGATGGACGTGCATGTGATTGCCCCCTTCTCTCCCCTCCTCCCCATTTTTAACACTACAGTGCATCATCTTTCCCCCCCCCCCCCCCACTTTTCTTTAACAACATGAACACTAAATTATAGCTGTGCAATTATGTAAACAATAGAAATGCTTCCAGAATGAATACTTCCTTTTAAATTTTCATTTTGTGTAATTGCTGAAAGGTTTGGAGCCATAATAAACCAAAATTATTTTACACATTTATCGTTCTAAAGGTCAATTATGAAAGAAGTAAAGAAACAACACTGCACCACAAATGAGTAAACCAATTTCTATAGCCATCACCATATGTTTTTCTTATTGCTTGTGTTTTTCCAGTCACTGTGTACATAGCATTCAATTAAAGTGATTCATTTACTAGGCTGTAAGCTGCTGAACACAGTTTACATATATAGAGCAGTGCTTTGAGGGGAAGGAAGCAACTTGCCTCTGTTTGAATTACCTGATTTTTGCAATATCACTGATAGGACATATGTTCTCACTTGGTCGCTTTCTCATAAACCTGAGGCATTTGATAAGCTTGCAATGCTACTGAGTTACTACATGGCGTTGGGCTTTTACTGTTAACTGTGTTTTGTGCATCGAAGTATGCTAATTGAGAAAGAAGAGAAAATTGGTCGAGTTTTATCAGAAAATGCCTTCCAGAGGTGCAGTTTCTTTCCAGTCTCTTCTGTTTGGAGGAAGCTCACATGTAACGGCAGATTCTGAACTGTGTTAATTTAACTAAAGCTACCACAAATTTGTACTAAAGTGTCCGGAGTGAAAAATGGCAGCGGCAACTAATGGAAAGCTGGGCTGAACACAGACTGACGCTTCTGCCGCTCTACGCCGTTAGCGGTTATGAGTCTGCTGTATCACTGGAGCGTATGATCTGTGTAGTGAATTCGTAATTTTTAAGCTACGTCACAGAAGAGAAAAGTTGAGGATTATTTGATCAGCTTTTCACAATAATTTTTTAAAACTTTTTCCCTTCTTACTCTGAAAAGTGTTATTTATTTGTTTATTCAGTAGTATCTTGTATAAACAGCAAATAGGGTACGTGCAACCAAATTCTTACAGCTTTTGGAGTAAAAGTATTGTTACAGATGTTGGGTGTTAAAACTGTGTTATTTATGCTACAGTGTAAGTTCACAGGTATTAATATATTAATATAATGGTTTTGTAGTTATATTTTTCTCCCTCTTTCTTCCTGTTTCCTCAGTGTTATATAAAATGATCATAATTAAGAGGTCAGAGCGGTACCTAGAGTCATCTTGATTTTGTGATTGAGGGTACGCTAGCAATCCCCTGAAGATACAGCTTCAAATCAAAAAAAGCGCTCCAAAATAAATGCTTACACAGTCTTTGCAGACATCTGGTAGCCTCACAGCTTTGTGTTTTGGTGTGATTTCTTGGGCTTTCTTGCCTGCAGCCTCTACAGAAAAGCCCTGTGGCAGTGAGTTTCAAGGGCAGTGTTCGGGTTTATAAAGAAAAATGAACGTTACTCTAGTATTTCACAGATGGAATTGATGAAATGGGGACAAAGTTAACACAGTTGTTTTGTAGTAGGTCTTTGTACATGCTGCATTCTGTTACCTTTTAAGCCAGGTTAGCGTGGGCTTTTTTATTGTAGCATATGTCAACAGAACTGTACTCCCATCTGCTGCTGTCTACTTCGATGCCCAATTATTCAGAGACCAAACAGCGCAGTACCTGGCTCCGTCAGTAATTACAGGTGTGTTGTGCTGTGAGGAGCCCTGTGCATTAATCAGGCCCTTAATTATAAAAAGGTGGATCTTTTGTTCTGCTTGGAGCATGAGTTTGCCACCCACTTTATGAGCTGCTGCATCCATCTGCTCTCTCTTTTTGAATGTTTACATTGACTGATATTGACTTCAAAATGTTTCAAAGGAAGTGATTAAAACTAGTTTAAACATTAACTCGAGTGGCATTTTAGCTTATTCAGGGAAGTGAAAGCATTATCTGGTACAATGCTAAAATTGAATCTTACTTATCTGGTAATATTTGAAATATATAACCCTGTTTATTATTTCATAGGATTTCATGTTACTGCTGTAAATACTTCAGTAGAACAATAAATAGGTTTTGTCCAGGTGTTTAGCAGTGCTTTGAGAAAATACCCACATAATTAAAGCATATCTGCAAATAGGGGAAAGGGAGTTTGATTTCTCTGGCTTTTGATTTAGAAATTGAGCACAAAGATGCATTCTGAGGCTAAAATTTAGGTGCAAGCCTTTCTTTGCCACATCATACGAGCAGTAAAGCTATAGATGGCCACGAAAAATTGTTTTCCTCTTCTTTGAAATTTTAAGGGGAAGAAAAATAATTTTGAAATCCATATAGAAATAACTTCAGCTAATTCTTTTGCACATGTAATATTGCAGTTGTGTTGTATAGATTTTGTGCCTAACTGTCAACCTACTGAAATCTTGTAGAAGGGAAATCTCAACTCAAATGCAGCAACTTTGCTCTCATCTGAAGAGACTGAAGAATTGAAACACGGAAGGCATTAAAGTTGAAATGCTTGTCTCGTATGATCTGTGTCACAGGGTAATTATGAGAGCGAAGATGGAGTTGGTTTAATAAAAAAAAAAAAAAAAAAAAGAGAAGAAGAAAAACTGTGATCTTTAAAACATTAACAGATGTCTTTTTTCCCCCCCAAGACTTATCTGTATTTGCTGTTTAGGTGAAGCGGGATTTATAATGATCTAGTGAAGACAGATTAATCTGTGTTACTATGCTGTGTACAGTCACTTTTTGCATTTGACATTAGTGTATTCCTCAGCTAGCCTAGAAAAACATCCCATGTGCACTGGAGCAAAATAACAGCAGTAAGCAACCTGTTGTAGGTTATTGCCTTGAACTCCTTCAGGGAAAAGTGGATAGTAATTTGTGTTATTTCATTATTTTTATGGCTACAGAATTTTGAATAATGTGATATTAGGTGATACCTCATTTTGGAAGGTGTATAACTTCACTGTAAATTGATTAACAGTTTGAATGTTTTCGAAAACAAAAACAATTGTATTTAACAAGCAAACAGTTGTTTTTGTGCTTATATGTGAGGAAACATTTTAATAGGAATTTAAGAATACAAATATTACCAGTATACAAAGCACGCTTTTCCCACTAAATGTGCCTGCAGTGGAAAGTAGTGGTTGTTATGCAATAATAAGTTATATAGATAGCTATGTGACTGTATGCTTCCTATCACTTCGATTAGTGTGGAGCTGATGCATTAAAAAGCTAAACCTTCTCAAGTTTTGTCTTTTGGGTTTTGTTTGCTCCTTTACTTTTTTTTTTTCCCCCTCTCTCCTCAAAGAGGAAACTTCTTTCTTTTTCAGGATATCTTGAATACTGTCATAAAGCATTGCCCACCTTGGTTTTTCTTCTTGGGTTTACCTGGCTTTACAATGCTGATAGGAGACTTCATTACAGCTGCGGCCAGAATTCTTAGTACAGACATGCTGGAGGTGAGTATGACAATGCTCGACATCCCCGTTCCCAAGAGAGTGCACAGTTGCTAACAAGGTTCAGATTTCTCCACTCTAACAGGTGTTGACTCATTAGTGCAATGTGAAACTGGGCTCTCGGGGCAGATACCATGGCAGCTGATGTGTGAAATTGTAGGATAAGGTGACATACTAGTATTGCGAAGGTGTTTCATCAAAAGGCCAAAGTGTGAGAAATCATATCCTTGCTAATATTGCAGCACATTTACACACTAAAAGCAGGACTTGGATTTCAGAATGTCATTAGCTTATTTCAGTAAGTGAATATTGAAAACATGGAGTTTTTTGGTAAAACAGAGTTTCTTACCAAGTATCAGCGCTAGTAGAGATAGGATTCTAAATCTGTTAAAGTAATGAAGGGACAGTAAAATAGCAAATTAATGATGGGATGCCAAAATAAAAGAGTAAAGATCTGACAGTCCTGGAGAAAAACAGGAGAGCTGGTACACATGAAATTTCACTTCAGGAGAGAACTTTCTGTCCATCTTAGCCATATGTTTTTCCTGCTGTTCTTGAAGTTTGGATTGCTGTGTTAATGGCACTGCATAGGCACACAGACCTCTTGCTGTTTCAGCAGAATTGAAAGGGTGGCTCTATACTTTTTCATTGTCCCCCAAATAATTTACAGCCATTAATTTTCTGACATTGTTTAAAAAACTTATCAGCTAAATTATTGATCCAAAGCTTGAAATGCTAGTCAGAAATGAAAATTCAACTTTCCATGGAAAGTGTTTTTAAAAAGCCTCTATTTCTCCTGCAAACATGAAACTTAGTGTACAGTGTGCATATTTTCAACATCACAAACGGTTATGTAGCAGTAAATGCATTTTTTGCTCTTTGTCCTATTGCTTAGATGTTTTTATTGAAATAGGAATCTCTCTACGTATTTTTATTATGAATGTAGTCAGTTCTAGTGCATTGTGCTTTCCTTTTGTGTCACGCTATCAACTGTATTGGATTAGCATTCAGAACTCTCAACCACCTTTTCTGTAAGGTGCTCTGGGTTTTTTTTGGGGGGATGTTTTGACATAGAATTGCTGATTTATGTAATGACAGAAGAGTTATTCAAAATGCAGAATATGCTTAAGAAAGCTCATGTATACCAGCTTACTATGAACCTTGAATATTCATAAGAGTCCCTAGTATTTAAGAAGCTGAAATATCATCAGGAGTCTCTGCGTGACCTTTCAGGTTTGGACTTGGTGATTTAAAAAAAAAAAAAAAGGGGGGGGGGATTAAAAGAAATTGCCGCATAAGTAGATGCACAACCAAATCAGGCATCAGCCTCTAGTATTTCCATTCTTCATGAAAAATAATTCTTTGATGTGAAAAAATTGCTTAGAGAATTGTGCAGAATGTATTTTTTCACGAGAAATGTTGAGATTCAGACACTACAAATTGCATATTATTATTAAAGTAACTGTACAAATGAAGGTGTAAAAATTTATAGAGTAAAATGTTTTTTGAGAAAGAGCTTGACAAAAGTTGAAAAGCAGAAAAGGGCATTGGGAAGCAAGAAAGGAGTGTTGTAGACCTTTGTAAGAAGAGGGTTTGAATTTCTTGCAGCAAAGTTTGCAGTGGAATAATTTGGGAAGAATGTGATGTGGTCAGTTATGAGCATATGAGAGAGAGAGAGAGAGAGAGAAAGAAACTGAATTTTTAAACCTGTTTTTTGATAGAGAGAATGGGTAAGTAAGGGAGACCTGGTAAGAGGGGAATAGCTAGGAAAGAAATGACTTATAATGAGAAACTCTGGTAAAACAGAAATAAATAACTCATTGCTGTTGTGATAATACTACATAAAAGCAGGTAAACACAGCTAGGATATAGACCTTACAGAAACGTATCCGTTTGCAGGTTGACCTTGAAATACAAACCTCTGTAACTAACAGTGTGTGTTCTCAGTAAAGTAGATAACTATGTAAAGGTGAGCATGTAGTAAAACAAATTTCATAATTTGGCAAGGATATGTTTTACAGATTTTTTCATATATGATTTTAAAATATTTTTGAGGTAACTGTGATGTTCTTAACCTGTTTGGTTAGTCATTTAATCTAGGCATATGATAGAGTTCTAATTTTTTTATTTTAAATTTTTACGCATCCAGTGAATGTACCTCTGCTTTTCAAACAAAGATTTCTATAGAGAAAGTAGAAATATAAGTTTAGAATTTACAACTCAACACACAAATACATGAAATAATGTTAATTTTCCAATATTAAACAGTTTCAACACTCTCATCCTAATTTTGGACTCTGTGATTGTTTAGAAAGGTTTAATTCTGTATCACTTTCCATCTTCTAGACGTTTGCGTTTTACAGTTAATGAAATGGAATGCTTTGATTTGCCATGCCTATAGTATGCATTCATAGGTATTGCACTTACGCAAAAGATGCTGTTAACATCATACTTCATGAAAGTAGCTAACATTTTGACATCTTCTTTGCCACTATGTTCAAAAGCAGGCCTGAGGCCTTTCGGTAACGGAAATTACCAAGTTAAGAAAAAGATTAAAGCCTTTGTCAGCTCAGCAAATAGAAGAGCTGAATCCTGATTTCAGAACGTATACTTGAAGTGATAACAAGTCCGGTGAATAAACACAAAACTGATAAAGTGCAAAAATATTTTTAAAAACTTGGTTATAGAGCACTGATTTATGTCTGCAGTTCATACATAATGAAAATATGACCTTCCAGTGAGAACCAGTGATCTAATTTCTACCCTTAATTGCAAACATGCAGTCTGTGTCTATATTGTGGGGCAAGACATTTCGTGGTGCAGCTCACAGACTTAGTCATCTAATCATCTATATCAGTGGACTTGTTTGAACACACTGTAGCTTGCCTGCTTATTTATCTACGGGGTTTGTTTCGAAAGAAAATCCAAATGCACAGGGAGATGATGTGCATCCGGATCTCATCCCGTCGTACAGTCAGAACGCAGCTCAGGTGTGCAGAGAGGACTCAGGCTTGGAGGGCAAACTGCCAAGGTATAGCCTGCGCAACTCCACAAATTGATTCTTGTCTGATACTCATGTCAAACTAGGGTCTCCCAAAAATATCAAAGTGGAAATGAGAGAAATGGAGAAGGTAGTGTGGATATCAGGAAATCGGATAACCACACTTGAAATTCATAAGTAGTATCTAACTGGTTCTGAAGGAAAAGCTTTGCGTGAGGTACGTAGTCAGAAAAAAGCAAAATAACACTGCAACAAAAAGCATAGACAAAATAAATGCTTACAAGTCACTGCTGTAATATTACTTCCGCTGTAGCTTTAAAGGAAAGAAGATATTGGGCATATATGATAATAGCCACAAGCTGACAATTTACAAAGTTATAAAAATGACATCTTAAAGAAAAATTTTCTGTTGTTGTACTTTTCCTTTTTTAGGCCCCCCGTTCAGAGGCTCATACCATCCTTGGTTCTCTTGTTTGCTTTCCAAATATCTACCAAGAAATCCCACTACTGCAGCCCATTTCAGAAGCTGGTGAGATCATCGCAGGAACTGCAGATGTAAAAGTAAAGTCACATTTTATTAGTAAATCTTTATGTAGCCAAACATTTTTACAATTAAATCGTTTTATTTTTACTGTGCACTTTTTGTTAAAAATAAACCCCTCCTTCTCCTAAAGCCTCACAACTGCACACATTATATGTAGTTATTTGATAAGCGTTGCTTTGCTTAAAATGCACCATAAAATTAACAAAGCTTAGATAGTGCAAATTACATTTTATTTTCAAGGAGAGTGAACTGGCTATGATCAAATGCTATGTTTTTCAGCCAGATGCCTGTCAGTTCAATTCATTAAATGTTGGTGGTGTTATTATTTAAAGCGTCTATTCATTGTTTCTGTGTACAATACTGACTGGCTTGTCCTATAAGACATGTGGGGTGTGCATAAAGGGAGATATTTTTTGCCTTTTGATATTGTAATAAAACGTTGAGAAAATTCCATTATTAGACAGAACAGTCAGCTTAGTCAGTTTTTCCCTGAGAATTTCATTGGGACACCCTGAGATGTTAATTGTACAACTGAATGTAAACCTTTGTAATTGAATGACCTTCACAATATTAATTTTGAAGGGGAACAAACAAAAACCCTCATCTCCCCTCCCTCTCTCCCCCCAAAGAACCCAACAAAAACTACCTAGAACATCACTTGCAGTTAACACCTGTCCAAGTGGTCACCCTAGCACCAATTTCAATTGCTCTTTGGTAAATTTGAGATGTCCTACTAATCCACAGCAGTAAATTAGATCAGGCTGTGGAGGAATCTCTGACTGTATCAGTTGACTTGGGATCATAAAAAAAGAAGAGAATTCAAACCATTTAATGCTCTCTACTCCAGTTCTTGCTTTCTTAACTCAGTACTAATCAAGCCACAGAGAGAGTCATTGGAAGTGTGTTAAAACGATCTAGATTTAGAACTAAATCTAGTGTCTTTTCTGGAGCAAAATGGAGGCTAAATTTTTCAAAATGCGGTTTGCTTAGAAACTTAAACACATACTGAATACTCGTAGTTAGTAAATATCCATCAGCTCTGAAAAGGAATTAATTTCAGTCTCGGTGCCTGTAGATGATTTTTAGGTCAACTATCTTGTTTATCCACAAACGGCTGTGTATTTTAACTGTGATCGGCAAATAATTCGCCTTTGATGAAGGAAAATTAGCATGTAGTAAAAATACTGTAGGTAATGTTTATTTCATTTGTGACTATGTCAAAATTAAACAACTGTAAAGTGTATGCATGAAAAAGGTGCTTATTCTAATTTATTTTATTGTTTTAGTGTTACCTTATCAATATTTTATTGAAGAATGCTACAGAGGAGCCAAGTGAAGCTGCAAGGTAAAATATTGAGTAAAAGAAAACAATTTGGAGTGCTAAGATGGCAAATAAAAATAAAAATAACTTAATGCAAAAATATTGCTTTTTCTTTCTGGAATCCGTGAGCTTGAAAAGGTATTAAGAGCAATAGGTTGGGTGACTCTGTTATTGGGTTTATTTGAGTCTGTTGCAAGCTTCATAGAGATGACGTAGATTGAACTTTATCTTTAGGAAGTGTGCTGTGTTTTGACAGGGCTTTTAGCATTGTAATTATTCCATCAACGTGTAAAAGAAACTTCTCAAGCAAAAAGATTTTTTTGTCATTAAAAACAAAAACTAGGATTTAATCTTACTCTGTCACAGTACAGGCAAATTTGAGGTGGGGCATTGTCCTTTACGTGAACATCAAATCCTTGTTATGTTATTCTTTGGCCTACGTTTGTTTAAGAAAGAACAAATTTTATATGAGGTTTTGGCGGTGTGTGTGTGTGTGGGGGGGGGGGGGTCTAATCTTTCAAATGCATTTTTTTCATTAGAAAGAGTGATTTTGAATGGCAATTACATAATCTCACAAATGTAAGGCAAATATAAAGACTGGGTATTTTTTACATGTCCTCTTATCTATAAAAATGCCCTTATCGTATCCTGACTTTTTCAAGTAGATATATTAATCGGATTTAATTTTAGATACTCAGAAATGTTCATATTTTTACAGGCTTTTAGTTTGTGATGCTATTTAAATAATTAAGAGTCAGCAGGTATGCAGGGGGTTTTCTCCACCGTCTAGAGGCACACCGAGCAGAAGCCTACTGCCCGGTGGAGACCCAGGCTGGTAAGGGCACACAACAGAGCACTATGTGAATGTGTGTGCGTGGCTCCCATCAAAATAGTCAGACCTCTGTACTTCTCTTACTGATACTTCTCAGGTTAACGGAGGCCAAGCTACTTCAACACGTCTTGCAGACATGTCCGTAGTTAATCATAGGGCTTTACATAAGATATTACAATCCAGTACATGAAAGGTACCCTTTAAACTGTTTATTCTAAGGGGTCGTAGTGAAAAGAGTGCACAGTGTTTCAATGACAAAAACTGTGTTTATCTCCTGTACAAAAAAGAAACTAACCTCCCAAAAGTAAATAACCTGCCTTTCCCCCCATGGATATCCACCTGAACACCTAAAGGCGGCAAGAATTTTTTCATTGACGTTTTTCCTAATGACAGCAAGATAAAATGTAGTAAATTTTAATTTAGTATATATTTTATTCACAAATGACGTTTTACTTTACAGTCTGTCAGACCTTAGCAGCACTACCTTCTTGTTTTTGTCTGAGTGCATTTGAAGATGACATGAAAACAGGAGTCTTTTTCACTAAGTATTTTTCTGTGCTTATACAGCAAAGTTATTACTCCTGTATGGTAGTTTAAACCGCTTTAGCCCTATTTAGATGAGTTGCACTCTGTGCACTAAAGATGTCACAGCTGACCTGCAGTGTGACTTGAGGGAAGGGAAAAGCGATCTCTTCTTTGTGCGTTTCTTTAAACTTTGTGCATTTCATAAAATAGGTATTTCATAAGGGTTATGTACAGGAATAGATTCCGCACACTCTGTTTACATACTCTTTTTACAGAGTTGCTTGTATTTTCCTCGATTTCAAGGAATGTCCCTGTTTGCTAATCCCTTCCTCCCCCCTCACAAACTCATCATTTGAGGGGCAATGCGAAGGGATAGGAGGGAAAGAATTGCGGCATCAAGGGCGCTTTATCACAGTCTGCCCGCTTGGCACGAAACTTGGGCAGGGGGGCAGAGAAGAGGAAGGGTGTTCCAGGGAGGATATGTAGTGGTTAAAAGTTCTTGGCCTTTCCAAAATTCTGCTCCGGTTAAATCTACGCAGAGTTTTAAGAAGAAATATCTTTGGTGTTCTGGGCCATTGGTTTGTTTCTCACAACTCTTCTGATTGATTAACAGTCAGTGACAAATTGCCTCTGAGATTCTTTTTCCTGTTAAGGAGTGATTCTTCTCTTCCAAAGTATAAATTCAGAAAATAATGAAATACTAAGGAGGACAGCATTCATTTTAAGCCTTCTAACGAAAATACTTTTTCTTTTTAAAAAGGTGCATAGCCATTTGTGGCCTTGGAGTTTGGATATGTGAAGAACTCACGCAGCGTACAAACCATCCTCAAGTGAAGGAAGCAATAAATGTCATAGGTGTGACACTAAAGGTATTACTATGACAGTCTGTGTAATTAATAAATGCTGTGGGGAGGGAGTGTTTAATTTTTGAAATATTCACCAACTATATATATTTTTATATATATATATTTAAATTTACTTGAAAATATATATTTTTTTAACTTGAAATCAAAATGAGCATCCAGTTTAGTTTCTTGACTGGCAAAGTTCTTCGGTGTGGCTAAGGTGGCATGCTATATAAAAATACAAAATCTTTACAAAAGTAGTGCTTGATTGTATGCTTAACTCTTACTGCAATAGGCCAACATAAGATTACATATATAATGTCAGGTTTGCTGTTTCCTATTGCTGACCGTGTGATTTTGCAACATTAATGTCTTTATATATTTTGTATGGATGCCAAATAATTTAGGATGTAGAAAAACTATATGCATTATATTATATATGGATATTGTCTTTGTTTTTTAATGACCTTTTTTCCTCTTCCAGTTTTCTAATAAACTGGTAGCTCAGGTAGCCTGTGATGTTCTTCAGCTGCTAGTTTCTTACTGGGAAAAGCTTCAGAAGTATGAATCCTCTCTATCCAGAAAGATTACTGAAGTATGTTTGTTTCTTTAAAATATTTGTACGGAAATTGTATGAGAAGCTATCTTAATTCCTTGTTCAACATGAGTTCACAGTTACAAAAGCGTAAACTCTTTGTTTCTTCTGCAGTTATCGTTAAATGAATTCTTTGCTACAGCCCTGGGACTGGTGTGCTTTTCTCATTTGTACTGATATATTTCCAAAATGCTTAATGAAACTTTTAGATTGGCTTGGATGTTGATTACCCAGGGCAGTTGGATGCCCTTTAGAGCATTTAACGCTTTTCATATCCTGGTCAAATGAAGCTTATGCTCTGTCTTTATAGCAAAAGAAGTTAAATATCTTCCTAGAATGTTGTTTGTTTATTTTCATATAGATCCTTGTGGCCACTATTGCCTTTCTTTTGCCAAGTGCTGAATATTCCTCTGTGGAAGCAGATAAAAAGGTATGTGACTTAAAAGAGCAATATCTATTGTTTGTTTTTGCTATTTGAACCAGTTATTAAATGAAATGGCTTCGTCATGAGTCTTATTTTAAACTTTCAAATTCACAACGTAAGATTTTAGTGAATTTGATAGATTCTGCCTAACTATTGTATTACTTGTTTCTATTTAGTTTATAGTTTCACTGTTACTTTGCTTGTTGGATTGGTGTATGGCATTACCAATGAAAATGTTACTAGAGCCAGTGTCTGCTGGTGTTCTTGAAGACCAACATACCTCCAAAGCTCCTTTACTGGACTATATATACAGGGTGAGTATGAAGAATGAACAGAATTTATTATTTAATTTACTGTAAGTCTAGATGTTTAAAGATGTGCATTTCACAGATCCTGTTAGGAAGGAGAAGCGTTTTTAGGAAGCTATAGAAAATCATGGGCACTGAATTCTCAGAATTTAGGCACGAAAGTCCTACAGATGAGACGTTAAGGATTTAAAATGTTAAGAGTATAGTAGTTCTTGTTATAAGCAAAGATTAGTGCGAAGAATCTTTAAAAAGGAAGAAAAGCCTTTTGATGAGGTAGAGATGTGGAACACAGAGGAGGGTGGAAAGAGAAAGGTAATGTGCTCAGAACAAGTCAGGAAAATAATCTTTGCAGAAATATTTGAATTGTTTGGAGTGGGATGAGAGGGATGAGATAAAGTTTGATCTGTTAAAGCACAAAATACATCCCAAGGGTGAGTGTTATTTTAAAATGTTGAATTTAGACATAAATGTTATTTGTAGCATATGCTGGATTTCATAATTTAAAATTATGATAGGTCACTCATCGTTGTCTGTAGATTGATACTTTAATATGCACTTCATTACTTTTTCAGTATCATGTTCTTTTACTCATAGGTTTTGCACTGTTGTGTTAATGGTTCCAGTACCTATACTCAGCAAAGCCATTATGTACTGAGTCTTGCAGATCTCTCATCTAGTGATTATGATCCGTTTTTGCCTCTGGGGAATGTCAGGAATTCTGAGCCTGCGCAGTGCCATTCTTCCACAGATTTGGGCAACCTACTCACTGTTGCTGAGGGTAAGAAATTTCACAAAGAAAGCGTGAGAATTTCACAAAGAAAGCGTGAGAACTGTCACGTCAGCATTTGGCAACTAGGAAATAAAACTAAGTGACTTCTCTTGCTTGCAAATTTGCTTGTCCTTACTGCACATAAGCAATAATTATTCCTTGAAAAGCGGGGTTGGAGGATAGGGAAATAGTTAAAAATTTTCTAGGCCAGACAGTGATAGTATCTAGATCTACCAAGTTTAGTTGGGAAACCTATAAGCTGCCAGATGTCTTAAGTGTCTCGATGCACGTCTTTGTTTTTTGTATAAATTAGGTTATAAATAATCTAAGCAAGATACTAATGAATCTTTGGCGTTTTGTCAGGGAAATTTATCACAAAAAGTCTATTTAGAAGGGAATCTGCTGTTGATTGAGCTACGGAGAATATTGATGTACTGAATTAAGAGGAAAGAATTTTTATTCTCAACTGTCCTCAGCTCAAAGAGCGAAGAATGGACTTTTCTCCTGATATAAAAATTAATCCCACTATATTCCCTGTGAAAAGTTTTATTTGTAGCATTGGGATAATGAATTTTGTATGTACTTGTTAAGCTAATCATTCCTGCTTAGAAAATTTTCAAAGAAAAGGTGATTTTTTTCCCAGTCTGTTCTGGAGTAAATTGCAACAAAATTCTGAGATTACATAAATGCTAACTTATCTGAGGAACTGAAATCTGAGATACACGTGGTTTGCAGAGCCCTGCCACTGTCCAAAGACTTTGCTGCTTGATAAAGCAAACAAAAAAACTCCTTAAAGCTATTACTGTATTACAGAAAATGTGATATGGAATTCTTTAGCTTATAAGAATATCAGTACAAAATAGAATTGGTAATTTAACCAGTTGAACTTAATGCAGTATAAGAACACAGTCTAATTTAAAAAAAAAAAAAATTCCATTTTTAAGAATCTGAACCCAAAAAAGTATTTTTTTTTTCTTTAGTAACCACCTCTCTTCAGTGAACATTTACATGAACTGGCCTAGATATGGCAATCATATTTTTTCTTGCTTTTCCCAATGCGTGCAGTACTTGACATCTAAACATATAGCATTTTTCCTTTTTTCTTTACTTTTTTTTTCCTAAAATGCTGTTTTAAAATGTTGATCAGCGTGAAATAACTTTCCAAAAGCCCCATTTGTTGATACTCAATTTTCATTGGCATTTGCTCATTCTGACATTCAATTATCAAATCCTACCATAGAAGAGTCCTTAATATTGATAACTTTTATCCTGGTCTTGCAGATTGCTGGGGTTTTTTTGTGTGATGTGGTTTTCTTAATGAATTCCAGTTGCCACTGTAATAGAATATTAGAATTTGTTGCCAACGTTGCTCTTTCGGATGAAACCAGGAGGAGATGAAACCATGGTGCTTTATAGTGACACAGTTGTACAAAGACAGGATAGACTGAAAAGCCATTTTTGTTTGTGGTACTATTTATAATTCAATATATAGATTGGTTTCAACAAATAAGATGAACTCCAAATTGAACTTCTTTCAGAAATGTGCAGCTGCCCTTTTTGAATCTTTGAGCAGAAATGACTTCATTGTCTTGGATAGTTTACCTGTTATAAGTGAATTGAGATGGAAATGTAGGATTTGGACCAAATTCTGCAGCTGTTTAAATATGTTACTCCGGCTGATTTCACATAGGATTGGGAAGAGGTGAGGGAAAATTTGAATTTTTAGCCAAGATCTTAAAATAAATGCAAGAAGGAGCAAGAGACAGATCAGAGAAGTGATTTATTGACAACTTGAAACAGATGATCCAGGAGGCAGATCCCGTCAGGGAATTCCAGTTTGGAATAGAAGCAGTCATTGTTTCTACAGGGCTATTTTAAATAAAAACCCCAATGAAGGTATTAGTGAAATGAAGTTTTGAGGTGAGAGATGAGTAGCTGCCACTATGTTTCAAAATGAAAAGAGATTATTTAAATCGAGGTACTGACTTTTTAAAATCAGCTTAAAAGTATGCCTCCACATATATGGGGTAATTGTGATTTATCTTAGAGAACGTCTTTACTTCAAACACTTTTTAAAAATAGCCTTTGAAACAAAGGCCATTCAATTATGAATTCCATACATTTTAAATGATTTCGTATATATCAGTAGGCATAAATATATTTTTAAATAAGAATCAAAAGTATGAATGCAATATGAAGAAGTGCAAGCTAGTGTTGGACTTGCAGTGAGGCTTTGAAATAGTATTTTCCATGGTACTGTACCATTATGCAGCCCTACATCTTGTTTTCTTTTTTTGTACATGTACTTTTAGTTTTAACAAAAAGGTTAGAAACATTAAGACCTATTCTGCACAGATTTCTTGTTGAGTGGGTACATTTTGTGAAAAGCAGAAAGATAAAGGTACGTGTCAGATGCATTTGTCATTTTAGGTAGAACAAGCTGTTTCTCATCTTGGATATGTTAGTGCCCTACAAATTCTTTGTTTTGCTTGTTTTCAAGAAAGATTAATTCAAACTGGAGCAGGCACAGAGATACACTGCTAGAGGATTCAGAAAAAGCATAGAGGGCCTTTTTCATGAGAGGAGGCTAAAAAAGTTTGGCTTTTTGGACCTAGCAAAATGAAGCCTGAAAAGGGATATACCTGCTGTTTAAAAGCACATAATAATGGGTACAGACTGCAGATGAACAAACTTAAACCGGAAATTATAAGGTTTCGAACTGTAAAAGCAGTATAACTCTGGAATAACGTTGCAGTAGGAGAAGAGGTGGCAAAATGTAACTGGGAGCAATTTATGAGAGTAATTGTAATATGTTTGCCTGTTATATGAAGGGAATGGCTTTTGTGGATCCAGAAAGCGTCTTCCTGCCTTTACAATTAATTTAACCATGATACTGTTTTCTCGATCTTCTTTAACAGTCATTTGAACTTTAGTTGCATCTCGCTTGCCTGTTTCTTGTGCCCTTCCATCTCTTATTATCATTGCTGTAGCTATGACTGTAGAAATACTATAGTTAAGACACAGTGCTTTTGCTTAAAAGTCATTAAGCAGTATTTTGAGCTATGTCATGAGGTATGAAGCATGTTTTAGAAATCGAACTGTTCTCACAGCCCGATTCAACTGAATTTTACAGGCATGTGCATCCTATTATACCGTTGAGATTGAAACTGAAGTATTGCAGGTACTTCTGCACCACCTAAGTAATTAAGTCCTCAAAAAATGTATTTGTTTTAGTTCATAGATAACAAAAGAATACCTTGTCTTTTATATCAAGTACGTCGTCTTTGTTAAACGTGTTCTAAATTAGAAAAGGCAGCCCAGAAGAATCCCAGAAAACAGAACAACTGCAGAAACAAAACATCACGGCAAGTGATGCTATGTTACAGCAGTTATATGAGGAAATAATCCCGATCTTTGTGCCTGCAAAATCTGTTCTTCTCGGAATGAAGCCGCAGTTTGGTGTGTAATGTAAAGTCTAACAGAGAGCTAGACAAGGGAAGGAGGCGTATTGCATGAGGGCGTTCAGTGCTTGGCGTTGCCTTGATGAAAGAAGCACAGAAGGAGAGCGCAGCGCTAAGCAGCAGTCCCTCCTCGCCGGAGACGGCAGCTGACTGAAATGTTTCGCAGCGAGCAAATAAAGATGTCGCTGAAAAGCTGAGGTTCTGAACGGCTTGCTGTGAGCAACCACCTAACCATCACAGCCAGCTTGTCAAGATGCGGTGTGTGTTTTATCAGGGAATGCAAAATAGTCTTTTGTTTTCAGATACATAATAATTATTTTCAGAATGCAAACGGTAACTTTTGTGAGATAGCATTGCCAAGTATTAACAAAGACGTTTGTAATTTCTGAAGTTACAAAGCAACGAATATGCTGCCTAAGTAGTGATGGAGCACAAAGAGCACATGCAGCGTATGCTAATGATGATTTTGGGTTTTTTAACATTGCTGCATTTGCTTGTCCTTCTATATTGATATAACTGATCAAAGTGACCGCTACATCTTTCCAGGGATAGGAGTGCAGCTTGGGAGGTCTGACGAAGCAGTGCTTGTTAGAACTTGCGCGTGCCTCTCCCCATAGCAACCACGTTTGGGGACAGAGCCCAAAAGAGCTGTGTGGCTCCCCAGTTATTGTAGTTTCTTTCGCTAGGTTTGCTCACCAGTCCTTTAGAGGACAAAGGAACGTTGCGTTTCTTCTGAAAGGGTGAGGAAAATGAGAAGGTTTTGTTCTAAAGTCATCTAATGCCAGTCCACTTTACTGATTTAAAGGGATGTGTTTAAAAAGTGTGTTGTCCTTTGCATGAGTCTTTTCTAAATATATAGATTTATATACACATGCACACTTACACACATACATATATATAACAAAGATCACATGTAGAAAAATTAAATAGAATATCTGTCCGAGGCTTGTATGTTCTTGACCTGGAGTTCTCAAAGATCCTAACTTCATCCTGTTTCAAAGGTACTTGTGCAGAAAGATTGTCTAAGTGCTTTCACCTGCAGAAGGCTACCAAAGCATATCTAGGCTCAATACCATGTTGTTTGTGGCAGAAAACACGGCTCTTGGAGTGGAACCTGGCCTATCTGTGACGTGTTTCATGCTCATTAGAAGAGTACATCCAAGTTTCTTAAACGACGCCTTGTCTCTTTAAGACGCTTTGTTAAGCTCCCTCTTTTGGGAGGGGTGGAGGGGGGTGGGTATGATGGCTGCATCTTCATGAGCAATCCTTTGCAGGTTGTGGATAGCTAAAGTAGCATTGTGCTGCTGACAAAACAGGCAGGGTCAGGAACTGTTACTGCTTGCCTGGATGTCCCTGTAAGATAAATTGCAAAGGACACGTGGTAAAGTAAAACAAAACCTGTGTGAAAGGTAAAAAGGTATTGGGAAATTATTGTAAATGCTTTCTTGAAGAGGAACGATTTGAAAAAAAAGTTAAGGCAAGCTTCTAAAATACTTGCCTTCTAAAAGAGCAGATGCACTTTTTAATTACCTCTTGCTACTCCTGTTTGTTTATTATCTTTTTATTGATTGTTTTAGAAAAAAGAAGGAGGAGCTTAGAACTAATACCTTTAACTGCACGGATGGTTATGACACATCTCGTAAACCACTTAAGCCACTATCCCCTCAGTGGAGGTCCTGCAATTCTTCACAGCCTTCTTAGTGAGAATCATGACAACTCTTACGTGGAATCTTCTGAGCTGTCTCCAGAAGTCTTCAGAAGTCCAAACCTGCAACTCTTTGTGTTTAACGACAGTACTCTCATATCTTACCTTCAAATTCCTGCAGAAAAAAAAGCAGATGCTGAGCCAGCAGTAGCTCCCTCAGATGTAAGAGTAATTGTCAGAGATATCTCAGGGAAATACTCTTGGGATGGCAGAATATTATATGGACCTTTGGAGGGCTGTCTTCCACGGCAAAGTGGAACAAACTCATTTGTGATTTCAGGCCATCCTGAGCATCAATTTAATTCCCCAAAAGACGTTTCTCAAGTGGAAGAAGGAGAAGATGCTCTTGACAGATTGCTGGAAAAAATTGGTAACTCTAGTCCTGAATGCCTTTTACATCCCCAGCGAAAGCTAAATGAGCCATCACCACCACCATTTGGTATGAGCTACGATCAAGAAAATGAAATCACTGAAGCCCTAATAAGGCAGAGTGCCCAGGAGAAAGAGTATATATTTAAATGCAGTTCTGACTTTGGTATGAAGGTAGCCTATCAAGAAGAGCCATGCCCTGCTGTTTTAGACTGTTGCTAAATGACTTGGGAATGAATTCCTGGGATAGAAGGTAAGAATAGACATTTGCAAACAGACGTACTGTTGCCACTTCTGACTTTAAAAAAAAAAAAAATCAAGATTTTTTTTTTTCCATCAGGCTTTGTCGCTGCCTCTTGTGACTTATAATTATCCAAGCAAGACTTGTTAGTCTCAAATTCTCTATGAAGTTTTCCTGGGTCTAGAATACCCTCAATCTAATTATTTTCAGAGGAAATTGCGAAACTTCTGTCACTTCAGCCCCCCTCCACAAACACACTTGAGAAAGAGCAAGAATTGGTTAGTAGTCAGAGCATAGTTTTGACCTTTAATGTATAGCCGTTTCAGTGATTATTTTAGATAGTTTTTTGCAGAATGTTTATAATAAAGGTAAAATTTTGTATTTGCATTTATGATTCACTTCCCTTAGGTATTTGAACAGCAAAATACTCTGTACTGTGTTGCATTGTCCTTTAAATCTTTTTTTTTTTTTTTCTAGAAAAAGTTTTCATCTTCTTAAGAAAAATTCAAAATTATTGAGAGAACTGAAAAATCTGGATTCCCGTCAGTGGTAGGTAATGTTTTCTAAGCGCACTATTGATAAGGTCAGCTTTTTCAAAGAAAGAATGAGTACTTCACCAAACCAAGAATTAATAGAAATTACATGTGATAGCAATACAAATATTTGTATGAAAAATGGTTTGTTTGCTTCTAGACAGTTCTGGAGCTAGAATGGACAAACTATTTTCACTGGCACTATATACAGAATTCAAAATAAGTAACGAAACCAATAATACACAACAGACTATTTCCTGCCCATGTCTTTAGTTGAGAGGGGAGGGAAGAAGTTGCGAAAATTTTGATTACCTTGCCTAGATTCACACAAAAGAATATTTTTTTCAGAATGATCCTTCTGTCAAGAGTTATACTTTAAAGAACAATCTCAAATCCATTTCTTTACAACTAGGTAGTGGCAGAATAGAGTTCTGAATATTGTTTTATTTTTCGTTTCTTGGCATATAGCTAATTGAAAACTATCTGCAGCATCACAGAGTTCTGCTTTTCTTGTATCCCAACAATTTTCATATCAAATCCACTCAGCGTATATTCAGACAAGCCAACAGTAACTGTAAGCCTTGTAAAACTCAACGTAGGATCTCAAAGTCAATAAATGTTTTTTCTTTCTCGTATATCATCACCCATAATTAAAATTCTGTAGGTCAAATTATGCTGGCATTAACACCTGTGCAGTCTTATTGTCTTCAGTGAGGTTGCACAGATGTAGGTGATTAATCCTGTAATTGGAACTTGGTAATCAATTCCTTTGCTGATGCCCAGGAAGAATAGAATCTGCTCAGCTCTCCGAACTGTGTTGTCTCTGAAGTGTGATCATGGGGGAAAAACATGGTGCAAATATATTTCTGTGACTGAAGTTGAGTGGTATATTTGTATTCATAAAAGAAGCTGACACCTAGAGTAAAACATGATTGCTTGTTCGTATTTTTCAGAGTGCAGATGGTTTAAAAGATAATTTTGACAGATTATTTAGAAGATAATTTTGAGCTAAAACTTCTTTTACTTTTCATTTCCTGTTGTACCCAATTACAGCCGTGAAACTCACAAGATTGCAGTGTTTTACATTGCAGAAGGACAGGAAGACAAATGTTCAATACTGTCCAACTCAAGGGGAAGCCAGGCATATGAAGATTTTGTTGCTGGACTTGGCTGGGAGGTAATAGCCATAGAGTTAGACAAACTTTAACGTATTGAATTTGAAGACCTATGAAAATCAACAGAAGTCCATTAAAATAAGTATGTGGAAAACAAACTGCATATATAACTGCATATGTTTTTCAAAAACAACATAAATTTGAATACATATTAATTAATATTTTGCGATACAGTTATTTTCAGATCACTTTATTTAGCAGAATTCTGTAAATCCAGTGAAATATTTTAGAAAATGGCATATAAGGAAGATGAAAACCTTTTTCAAGCAAGCTTAGTTTACATGTGTGCCATCAGAGCGCACCTTAGGATTTCAGTGTTTTAGCGGGAAACTGCACTTATGCTTTTCATCATAACATGAAAAAAGAACCTAGGAATTTTTGATTATTAAATTAATTATTGTAAATACTGGGCGTTAGAATTAGCAGATTGCAAAACACTGAAAGTTTTCACTTGTTTCCTGAAAGTTAGGACACACTGTAGGTTATTTTAGCTTTCTGTTTTCTGGTCGAAATGGGAAAGCAAAATAATTAGGTAAGGAAGACTAGTTTGAGTTCAGCAGAACAAGTCAATTTCTCTGCTTTTAAGTTTTCCTTTGTTCTGAAACATTTTATGCATCTTTATCTAGAAAATGTCCTTATCTAGACCAGAGTCTAGGAACAGATACTGAAGAAATTAACCCTTACTAGAAGCCCAGGAGTAATCTGTAGTAAAATCCAACAGTTGTGGTGCCAGTTCAGATGTCACTGAGGCAGGTAGGTTTCTAAGTGCCTGGAATCAAGAAACTCTCAGGGATCAGACTAGAAGGATTTAACTTGCAGTTCTAGTGGCTGGAGTGCTTAGAGGACCCACGTGCTACAGGTGCTGACGCGCAGCTAATGGTGGGCTCACTTCCACAAATGCTCTCTTCAGTTTGGGGCTCCTATGGGCTAGCTGATTCTTCCAGCAGTCCAGAAGTTGTCCCTGATTTAACGTCATTAAGATGTGATAAGCATGCACTTCGGATCGTGTGAACCACTGTGACTAATCATTGTCGTTCACTTCAGCTACCAACGGGCACGTAGTTGCTTGTTTTGACCAGAATATTCCTAACTGCCTGGCAGCGTTGGTCTTGGTTTTCCAGGCCGGCATTCAAAAGTAGTCAGTGGTTTGGTTTGGGTTTCTTTTTAAACAGCCATCTACAGCAGAGGACACTAGTGGGAGAGGTGATGATTGCAGTCACTTACATAAGCAATTCTGGGATAGAAACTTGAAAAATCAAGAGTAATTTATCCATTTTTTCGGTGGAAAGAGAAAAATTGTAATCAACTCTTTTGAGAGTGATATCCCAGGACTACAGGATTTTAAACAAGTAAAGATTCCTGTTTTTCTTCTTTTCCCGCCTCTTAATATCCCTGAAACCATTGTTGGTCTTGTATGTCCTCTGCTTTTTCTCCTTAAGTCTTCAGGATTCTCTGCCTTTTGGTCAGTTTTTTTGAGCCACCATTGGCTCAACCAAGAGAAGAAAGTTTGTGGGTGTTTTTGTTGAGCTTTTCATCAAACTGCTGTGATGACCAAGTTGTCCCCTGGCAAAGGTCCCACGAGTCTTTGCTGGACTGGCTGAAGAAAGAATTCTTCCTTTTTTCTGTTCCTTTAAATAGTGGAGACTGTTGCATATCTTCACTGTGAGGAGGAAACTGAGAGTCAAGTTTCTAAAAATCCCCTGTCTAGAAAGTCATTAGACCGTTTGTTCATCAAACAGTAGCGGAGGGGATGAAGTACTTAATTTTTAGAGGGTTAGTTTTTTGATGCTGGTGGGGTTTTTTTTGTTTTGTTTTTTTTTTTCTTCTAAGTGCCTCTCACCTGTTGGGAATATTACTTTTCAGTAATATTCCTTATTATATTATTCCACCTTATGCAAGTTTTAGGCACCTGTCAGACAGGAAGGATATATGCAGCCCTGTGTCGTTCTTCCTAATTCTCTTGTTTGCTGTCACTAGCTTGGCACGCACGAAATACAGTCCCTTATAATATAATTTGTTATCACTATTGTTACATATCCTTCCTGTTTCTGATGGTCAAGTAGTACTGCAGTTGATGTTTCTGCTTTCTGGATTGTTAGAAACTGTAGGAAACAATTACTCTATTGCCATAATTTTAGCTCCTCTTACATCTTCGTGTGGTCAACTCCAAGACTGTTGTGCAAAGGACAGGAAAGTTTGTCTTCTCTTTGCGTTGTTGAGATGTTGTGTAAGTAACCTAAATGACATGGACGTTTTTATGTTTTTGGAAAAGCGTGGTTGCACATTTAATGATCTATGGATGTAAGTGAAGCAAGGTTTTCAGGGAGAGGTAGCATCTCCACTTAGACTGAGGTAGTTGGGAAAACAGACAAGCTTTTGGACACAGGTGGTTCTTCAGAGAGGCATTTCTTCTCAAGAGTGTTTCAGAATAATTTCTTCTGTGTTTTTTCTTTTGGTTTAGATTTTCATTTTCTTCTGCAGTGTTTGTGTTTGTTTATATTTTCTCCATGCTTTATATTTATTTCTCACTGAATATGCTTTGAGCAGGTTCGTTAGACCACACTTAGCCCTTAGAACGGCTTGGCATGACAGAATTCTTTTGCTCCCTTGCTACTGTTTGCTAGCAGGAAGATAAAATAGATAGCCACATAACAATTTTCTAGATAATCACTGGGTAACTACTGAAGAGAGATTTATTTTGGAAAATGTCAAATACGGGAATGGGAAACTAACAGATCCTGAAATCTTAGGCAAGGATTACAAAAGCTGTATAGAAAGATGTGTTTCTCTCTGAGGTGACTACAGAATTCTAGAGTGGTAAATTCACATTTAAAGCCTTGATACCTAAATGATTATTTAATTTCTTCTAATTACACCTTTTAATCAATTAGGTTGATCTTGCAACACACTGTGGCTTTATGGGCGGCCTGCAACGTAATGGCAGCACAGGACAAACAGCACCGTATTATGCTACCTCTACAGTGGAAATCATTTTTCATGTGTCTACAAGAATGCCATCAGATTCAGATGATTCACTGACCAAAAAGGTAAATCATTTGCTGTGTATTTCAAGACATTGTATGTAGTCTTTGCATGCTTAGATTAAGGTTTAAACTGAAAACCGATTGTACTAAATGGTCCTAGCAGGCCATCTTTACTCTGTGGCACGTGGTGCTCTGCAGCTAGATTATCTGAATTAAATGGCATCTAAATTCTGGATTTTGGAATAAAATTAACATTTCCATGGTAGCCTCAAATACCACCATAAGTAATAACATTAGCAATAATTTCATTTGTATGTTGTCTGCCTGCTAAAGGGTTGTAGTTTGGTACAACAGAAAAAACAAATGCAGCGTGATAAAACCTTACAGACAAATTTTCCAAAGGATAACAGGAGGAAAAAAAAAAAAAAAAGAGAAGTGAAAGAGAAGTGACAAGCATAGTACTAAAAGCAGCCAGCTGATATTTAAAACTATTATCCAGTTAGTCACAATTCTGACAAGCAGAGTCTGCTTCAAAGATGGCCAGAACCCAGTCCAAAATTTTGTTGGTTACACTACTTAATCATTTGTCTTCCCTAATAAGGAGTGATTGGAGATTACGGTGCTTGCCAATTACTGTTTAGAGTCAAAGAAGATTTTAGGTGCATACCAAATCTTTGCCTTTTTAATTAGGATTGGCAACTTGTCCTGTGTAGAGTGTTAATGTGCATGAATAATGCTACCACAGCCATCCAGTCTGCTGTGTGATACAGTTGTGCTCTGAAAATTATCTATATATTGCCAGATAATTTTGTTTGTTGTCTTATTAGTTTCAAAAAAAAAACCCGTAATAGTAATGCTTTTCTTAGAACTCAAAGGGTAGAATTCCTGATTACTTGTCCTGAAAACTTGCCCAGTCTTTAGAAGTAAAGCTAAATCCTTTTTTTCCCCTATGCTATCTGTCGTAGAGAAAACATCTATTAACAAAGTTACGTTTCTGAGTACACATGCAACTCATTATCTTCATATTAGTGGGTTTACACAGGAGTGAAAAAGAGTGTAATCTGAGTACTTTTAAGATAGAGAAAGCAGGCTGTGGTACACATTGAGGGGCTGTATAGTCCACACCACTGTACCGAGGTAGATTCTCCTTACTTCTTTTGTCTCTGACAGATATTTGTCCAGCTTCCAGTTAAAAACTCCAATGATTAATGCTTTTTACAGTTTCTCTAGGCAACATACTCCAATGCAATGCCATGAGAAAATTTCTTCTTGTGTCTGTTTTAGTTCAATTTAAGCCCATTTCTTTTTATCGTATTCCACAGGAATATGGAGAACAGAATATCCCCTTCTTTTTGCAGTAGACTTGCTCATGTTTGAGAACTGCTGTCACGCTTTCCCAGACTTATTTTTCCAGAACAAATTGGGGTTGTTTACTTTAATCTTCCCTTGTAAGTCATATCTCCTGGATTTTATGGAAGTATAGCAAAGGCAGTGAAATACCATCTTCTAGCTGTTGAGTAATACGTCACCTAGGAATGGAGAGAATACAGTCTGGCAGAGAGAGCTTGGGGAAAACTGGGTTTTATTTACAAACAGTCTATTTTACTTAGACCCCTGTTGGTGATTAACATAGCCACTGAGAGGGTCTATGTTTATTTATATTTAATTGTCTTCCCTTAATTTGCTTTAGCCTTTAAGAAACATAGATTTCTTCATAAGAAACAAAAAGCAAAAGCGTTCAGTAGCTGGCAGTCTCCAAGTCTTGAAGGGTGAGGAGATGAGGCCAGCTCCAGTACATATTATCCACAGAAAATACCACAAATTAACTGCTTTGAAACTTAGAAAGATCTGCTATTGGAATGGGAATGCAGCAGGGGTCAAACAGTATTCCTGTAAAGAAGGGCAGGGCTCTGAGCCATCTAATGTATTTTCAGACCTGGCCCTGCTTTAAGTGGGTGGATGGACCAGATGACTTCCAGAAGATCCATTTTAATATACAGTATTCTGTGCATCTGTACAGATCAGCTTTGTTTGTTTAATTTGCCACAGCTCTTTGGTAAACTAGCATACATTTCTGTGCAAGTTAGCGTATACTTCTTAATAAACTGTACAAAACTACAGCTAGGAGTGGAGGCAAGATGTATTTCAGAAGCACTGTAAAATTTCTGGAAGACTGATAGTTCTCTGGTTCTTTGGCAGTGACGATGGAGGAAGCAGACCTCGTTTTGAAGCCAATGTTTTCGGCGTGAGCGTCTGTCCGAGCTATTTCTAAAGACAGTGTTAAATACACTGCAAGTTGTTTAAGAGCTCTTAACCACCCTAAGTATAAAATCCGAAGCACCCATTTCTCAAAATTTCACTTCTGAATCTTAGCTGCAAGCAGGCCGTGCACTTGCAGGCAAATACATTGATGCTTTAGCAGTGAAATTCCTCAGTTCAGAGAAGTGCCATGTTGATTTTGGCAACCTCTCCATGTGCAGACCACAACTGGCACAAGTGCTGGAAACGAGGCATGTGCCTCGCGTTAAACAGAAGGCGAATGTATCCGTTTCGCCCACCTGCTTTTATTGCCGGGGTGAATGATACAATACCTGATTAAGAGAGCTGTGCTCAAATGCAACTTTGCACATGCTTCTCCCAGCGGGGAAAGGTCCTTCCAAGATCTTGGTGCCGCTCAACATTATTAAAAGTATTTTAATGGTTCCGTGAGCTCACTGAAAAGGTAGCGTATGGTGGACCTAAGTTCTCGTCTCACATTTATGGAGCAGTATGTTAAGGTCTGGGTCTCTTATGATGAAGAAGATTATATTATTTCTGGTAATACTTCTATTTCATAACAGTATGTAGGGGGAAGGTGAATTGCTATGTTGCCACTTAGAATCTGCTTCATTTTATTTTTTGCTGCAATGGAAATATATGATGATGTTAGAAAACAGTATTACTGGAAGGGGAAACTTCTAATACGTTGCCATTCAGTATGAGATGGAGGCCATAATTTTTTTTTCTCTTTGGTCTTCCATCACATGGGCTTGCATGGATACATGAACCTATTTGAGATACAGTAATCTGAGCTGCCTTTTATCTGTAGAGCCTGTATTTCCTTTCTGTGGTTTCTTCTCTGCTTATTTTGCCAACAGAAAGGCAAAAAGAATTCAATACCAGTTTGCTTGGCTAGCAAGCTCCAGAGCTGAACAGAAGGTCTTACCACCTGCTGGCCAAGGAAGTAGTACAGCAGGCCATAAATTCTGTGGGCTGTGGAATTAAGCAGATGCAGTAATTTTACTTAAATATGTTGTTATGGTTCTTTACTTTCACTGAACACAGGAGGATAAATTCATTTCTGGTATAAATTCCCCAGAATAAGTGCACTTCCACTGAGGATGAATTTGGCCCGTTATTTTTGTGCGATACAGTAATCTGCAGTTTGTCTTCTTTTATATGCTGACATATATTATTGCTCATTCAAAAAATATATATATATATGTATATGTGTATCTCCAAATAAGACTTAGCTCTGAGAGGGGGGAAAAAAAAAGTTTTCTAGTGAAATAATCAAAATTCGGCTGATGTCTTTTGCTGCTGTAGGCTTCAGCATCATTAGTTCTAAACTTTTTTTATCTGGATGTCTTGTAGCAAGAATGAAAATCAATCACAGTAACAGCATCCTACAGTCCCCTGTCTTGTTCTAACTAAATTGTACCTAACAGTTTAAAAATGAGCTGCAGAATTTTTAAGTGATTTATTCCATCTTCTCCCCATTGTCATAGCAGAACTTTTTCAATTCAGAAATCCAGTTGCAACCCCATACTGAACTCTTGCTCCTTCGCTGCAGAAATTTGTTAGCTGGAGCTAGATTAGATTTTTAGCAGCTAATCTAACTGCTGTAGGGGTTTGCAAAGTGGGGACAGAGCTGTGCTATTGGATTTGTCCAATTCATTTGACTCCAGGACTATAATTGCACTTATGTCTTACAAGGCTTTTATAGCCTAAGGCTGGCGAGCAGCAGAAAAACAAATTGGCAGTGATACAGTAAGAGTGAAAGGGAATGAAAGGCACACATTATCAGTCTCCAGGCAGCACTGCTCTGGCAGGAAGTTTCTTGGTTAATTTACAAATAAAACTTAGATTTTAGGATGGGCACACTGTCAGGCAAACAATGGGCATGTCAGGCCTGACTGTTACTTAGTAAAAGTAGCAGCCATGCCTACCCAAAAGCAGAAATTCTTCAGTCAAACAGACGACTCCTTTCTGGAGCCAGCTGGCTATGTAATGCAATTAGGAGGAAAAGGAGGTCAGGCTATTAGGTGTGTACCATGACCAGTGTCAGCCGCGGCGTGTTGCCTGGCAGGCAGCAGCAGCCCGGCTGCAGCAGAGCGCCTTTAAAACTATTTACTCAAGTGAATGAGCAGAAGTGGCGCGCGGCTAGGGCCCGAGCGCCGAGCTTTTGTGTAAGGCTTGAAAAACGAGCGTTTGTTCGGCGAGCGCCTCGGTGCGTCCTGAAGCGCAGGCCGGGGCGGAGGGGAACGCAGCGCAGAGGTGATTGATGAGAGCGTAATGCAAGTCCGAAACTATACAGTGATCCCAGCTCCCTCTCTTTATTGTTCAGGCAAGTTGAGCCATCGAGAAATCGCTGCGCTCGAACACGTGCAGTCGAAAGCGTGTGCGTTTTGTTCATGCGAGTGAAGTGGCCTTACGCTGATCGTTCATCACGCTTTCGGCTAGCTTGGGGAGGGAAAGACACTGCAAAGAGTTTCCTTCGCTGGGTATTTGTAGAGAGATCATTCAAGTCAGGAAGAAATTTTAAAAAAATCTTTTTTTTTTAAATACCATATTATCTAGCTGTTTTGTGATTTTTTTTTTTTTTCCCCCCTGAGGATTTTTCTTTTTTCACTCCTCCTTTTTCCCAACTATATGGAGAGCCCAGCATAAATCTTTGCTCAGTGTGCATTGCGTGTGCTTCTTTGGACCTATAATCAAAACTCGCTTGCTTACCTCCTTCGGGGTATCGAGTCTGCCATATAACTTGTATTTTTAATGAGCGATAAGGAAACTAGCAGCTGGTAGGTTGTCACTGATAAGATTATTCTGATGGTTTTTTTCAAAGAAATGATCTTTCAAGAACAAATATTTTTGGTTTAGAGCAATTTGGTCTTTGTAACACTGCACCTTATAAATGCAATGATTAAGAATGCAGGATTCAATCCATTACCGAGCATAAAATAGTGTCATTATCGCCATGCCGTGTGGGTTGTAGCTACGGTAGTAATTTCTTACCGCTCTAGGATGTTTGCAAGATTTTGAGCTGTTAGCCATCGTTTGCTGTCTGAAGCAAGCATGACAAGCATATGCTGATCTAACTTCTCCCTCTTCACTGAATTTTGTTCTCTTGTGCGTAGTACAGGTATAAAGCGTTTTGGGATTCTTGAGCATGCAATGTATTTGACCGTTACCTGAATAACGAACTGCGAACTGAGAAAGGTCTTTCAAGAAGCATCCGGGCATATTTTGCTTACTGCTTTTATAGGTTTATTTATCATTCTTAAAGCAACGTGAGGCAACGTAGACCCCTTTCTTCACAGTTTGTTTCAGCAGTAAAACAAAAGGGTTGTTTCCAGTTTTGAGTTTCCCTGTGCAACTAGGCAAGTACCTTACCGTACAGAGCTCTGTTTTCATATTTGTTTAAGCTTGTTAAATACAGCCATCATGGGGTTTTTATGTGTTGCAAAGCTAGTCCTAGAACTCGTTTTTAATATCAGCAATGAGTTGGGTACCTGCCTTGGGCATGATAAATTTTGGGCACTGCTTACAAGTTCAGCGCCGTAGACCTGCTCTGAATACAGCTGGTGTAAGCTGGGCCCTTATTTCTGTTAGCTTTTATAGTAAATTATAGTTTAGCTTTGGCTGTATTTGGAGTGGCCTTGCCAAATGCTTAGATTCTCAGTATAGATAACCTGTTGCACACAAAGTATTGTAGCCAGACAGGTTTTTATTATTGTTATTTTATTATTATTATTATTTTTAAGACTCAACTTTACATCTCTCTCTTGATCGTTTTTAAGGTCACCTCGCTGCATCTCTCAGATAAAAACCTAGAAATCAGTGAAAACAGGGGCATTCCCCAGTGCTTGCAGTGATATCAGAATTTTATTGTACACTTATATACAAAACTAAGCAGTAATTTATTAGTCTGCACTGTGACATTATCAACATGAATATTTTCTTGGATGTTATTTTGCTTTTACCGAGTAATTAAGAAAATACAAGAGGATGCACAAAAATCAGGATGATTGTGAGAACAGTAATGTATACTAATTTCTATACATCTAAGAAGCGCCACTAGTCGTATTGTTAATGTTTCCATATTTTTTATAAGATGACTCAAAAACTGTTTATATTTTCTTCAAACGGAATTAACCATGTCTTTCCTTTATAGGTAGAAATAAAATACAATTCTGCTTTATCTTTCTTTTATTTCATTTAAAACAAACTGAGAATCTGAGTCATTCTGTGAACTCAGCTTTATTTTACTTTGCTAGAGTGTAAACTGTTGGCAAAGCTGATGGTTTTTAACACTTAATTCTTGTGGTCCTGCCATGGTGGTTTTGCTTACAGCCAGAGTACAGTTTGCCACCCAGTGCTGTAGGGATGAAGTGCTTTACTTTTAAAGATGTGACCCGGTTCTGAAGAGGGAAAATTCTTTTTTTAAATATAGGCTAATACAAGGCCTGCGGACATTATTTCATTGTTATTTATCTAATGAAAAATTGGGGCTTTTTTTTTTTTTTCCCACAGAGATAATGAACAAAGCAGATCTGGCTTCTTTGTTAGGGCTACTGCATACATTTTTCAAGAGGCCAGGACCAAACTGGAGGTGGTGGTTCTTAAGGTTTAAGTGGCGCTTAAATTCTCTTTGGTTTGGACTGGCGTTCTTCATGTGGGTTAAATTTTACTTTTAAAGTTTACCTTGGAAACTATTGCGCGTAGCTCGTACGTGATTTTCAAATGTCTTCTGCCATCTGTTAGAGCACCTCCAGTTCCTCCCCTAACAAAGCAAACACACAGATCTGCATAGGGACTTTTTATGTAAGTCATATTTAAAATTTATCCATGTTTTATGCAACTCTGCTTAAAATGAAAAAATAATTGCCCCAGTATTTCCCATTCTGCTGTAATTTGCATTGGTCCAGGGGATTTTGTTTTACATTTTCAAACAAAAATTATTTCCAGACTCAAAATCTGCAAGGAAATGTTCATTTTCTGATAACATGTGTAATAGAGGTCCATAGCGGAAAGTTTCTTGGCATGCTTAGTCAAGGCATGTCTTGTTCTTGTGACAGCTACGGTATTTTAACTGAAATACGATGTTCTGTTGGTTAATGTTTTGCTCTAGTAAGTCAGATTACCATCTTTAAATTATTATAGGTAATGTACATCTACATATTGTGCTAATGGGTAATTTGATAATTGCTTAATTAAGCCATCGGATAAACAATATGTCCTGAATGAAGCAAATTATTTAACCGATCTTTTCATGAGCAACCAGGGAAAAACAATATTTTAACTTTTTCCATAATGAAATATTTCTACTATTGAGCATAGTAATTCAATTTGTAAGCCATGACCCCCTCATAAACTGTTGTTATCGCTCTGATTAATAAAGAGCCAATTTGCTGTTGCAGCTTCGTCACTTGGGAAATGATGAGGTTCACATCGTCTGGTCGGAACACACCAGGAACTACCGCAGGGGCATTATACCAACGGATTTTGGAGATGTTTTAATTGTTATTTACCCAATGAAGAATCACATGTTTTTCATAGAGATAGTGAAGAAACCAGAGGTATGTTTTGACTGCTTTACTGGATCTGTCATACATGTTATTCAAGCGAGCAACAGTTCTGTTGCTCGAATAAAACTGACTGTTTTAGCATTCCCCTCCTTTCTGCTACGAATCCTAAATTTTTAAAAGTATGCTGAGCGGTGAGATTTTATTATTTAAGACTTGCAATGTAAACAGCAATTGAAATGGCTACATGTGAAAAGAAAGTAATTCGTGCTATGTTACTGCTTAGCGCTTAAGGGAAATATGTCAAAATTCGAAAGCCATTGAAGTTATTGTACAATGAACAATGTTTAAAATGATTGTGATTTCCAATGTAAGCCAATAAATGCAAAATAATAAAGATGTAGGTTCCTCACTTGCTATTAATTTACCCTATAATATAGCTTAGCTACTATTGTGCATATGGTACTGTGCATTACCTCACATGTGTTTGAGACCCTCCCGATAATCTGACTCACTGAGATGATGTAGTCATTGGATAGCCTGACATCCGAGTCTTTTGATAATGTTTCGTAACTCCGTTTTAGACCTTTTTTTGAAATAGTGGATTTTTTCATCGCACATGAAAATGCTAGCTTAGTAAATGCTTGTCTGGCATTATAGGTGCAAAAATGTGTATAAAATATGCTTTATGAAAATAATCAATGTGATAAATACCATTTCCCTTATATGAGAGGCAATATTTGTCCAAGAGAGTAACCAGCTGTGGACAATGCATAAATCTGATGACATTTATCACTGTATGCAATATTTTTTTTGAGTTGTGTAAGATCTAGCTGTTATATATTAACAGCTAGAGTTGTGCCAGTAGACATTTTCAGTGAGAACCTTGAATATTTTTATAAATTGCACTAATTTTTGTCTTAAACTTAATTTTTCAGCTCTACAATTTACTTCTCAGGAATTTTAGTAAAAATTTTTTACCTTAAAATGCCAAATAGCTTTTAATGTATCTCAACCTCAAAGAGCTCCGTAAGAAAAATCAGAATTTAGCTTTATGGACATGCTTGAAAATTCTGTGAATCAATCCAAAAAAAGCTATGTCGTCGTATACATTAGTCAAAAATGCCCAGCAGGCTGAAAGAATAATAGCTAACTGGAAATTTAGTGTTATCCCTGCATTTAAAGTACAAACCATTACAATGTAATAAAATTAATCCAGACATTTCCAGGGCAAGTGTGGCTGACCTTTTGTTCACCAGCTACTGACCCCAGGGTGAATGAAAGAGGCTTGCAGAGAGAAATGTCTGTTGTTTGGCTTCAGTCCCTGGTATTTAAATTGCATTCCCTAATCAAATGAAAAGGCTGTCCTCTCTATCAGGTTACAGAATCCATGGCAACATTTGGCCTTTTATATACATAATGTTAGCCTTTTTGTTTGCATCTAAGTAGAGACACCTGGAGCAATGTTAACATTAACCGATTTAGCATTAATAGCTTCATTATATAAGAATTTCTGATCAGATAGCTGTTACTTTTGTTATATTGCTTCAGCTTGTATTGTTTTCATTTTTTATCTCCCTGCTTGGCAACCAGGCAATGATTTGCAAATTTTTTTTGTCTTGATTAATTAAGCAATATAATTATCAGGAACCGTGATGCAGTCTTTGCTCAACAAAGCTTCTGAGAGAAAACAATAGTAAGTCTGTTAGGATGAATGCATTCCACGCGTCACAGATGCATGAGGATATTCTAAACAATGAGACGAAAAGCTGCCTGCAAAAGAGGACAAAGAATGCCAAGCAGACTCTACACACTACACATACCGCCAGGGACATACTGCGGGTTCCCTGGGACACAGATGCCTCGTTAGATTGCAGCTAGTCATCAGAGATTAATTCTCAGCCATTTGGTACAATAATTTACCCATTCCCCAGTCTTTTAACTAGTGCTGCTCGCTATAGAAGTGAAGTCTTTGTACTCAAAAGGTTTATTTAACCTTGCCTACTTTTAATGTTTGCAACAAAAATAATTTTTTTTTTGTCTTGGAGATTGTAATGAAGCAGGTGTTTGCAGTGTGCTGAATATTAATTTTTGTTTCAAGGGTAACTTGCGTTGACATTTGGAGTGGTTCAGGAGGGCGATGTTTCCCCTTTACTCTTTAATTTATTTTTTTTAAATGGATTCCTGTTTAAGTCTAACACTATTTTCTTTGCGACCATTTGAAACACTGCCATTTCTTCGAATGGCTATACAATGCCGACCTGCAGAAAGCACGGACCAGAGAACCTGGCCCTGGGCGCGCGGCCGGCTTCTGCCCCCAGACCGTGCCGTTCAGGCAGCGCGGTCTCCGCAGATGGAAGCGTATGCTGGACTCGCTTCCACTGACTTTAATGACCCTCAACACGGCTGACGAATCTGCTTGGGAATTAATAACTCTAAGCTGCTTGTTCATAGGGGTTTACGGTCCGGTCGTGCGTTCCTTGCCCTGTACGTACTGCAGCTGGCTCTGGGCAAAGCGGGAGTGCGCGAGGCGGGTCCCTAGGCCTTCTGGCTCCAGGTCTGGGAGAAACCCAGAGGGGACGAATTTTCAAATTTGGGGAAGTATTACTCTAGGTTCTGGTTTCATTTGGATTATGTTTGTTTTTCTTTGATAATATGAAACCATCCGCTTTCACACGAGGTCACTTCCATCCTTTACTGCATTGAAAGCTGTGTCCTCTTTTTCCATCTGACAGCGTGTGCTAGCTGTGTCGTATGAAAAAATATGCAACTTCTGACAAAACATGTCCCTAGGACACGTTTTGTGAGATAATCTGATTTTCTTCTTGGGAAAAAAAGCATGCTTCCTTAACCCGTACTTTCCACTTTTATGGAAGTCCTGTTCTTAACACGTGCAGAGGAGAGGAGCTAGGTGATAAACACTACAATTTTATTGTATTGCTTCTTTGCTGCTTCCTTTCTTCTTTTATCTTTGGCGGTAGCAATCTGGTTAAGGATCAGTCAGGTTGTACCATTTATCCGAGTCATCTTGCTGCCGCTGCCGGAGGCAGTCGCACGCGTGGAGTTACCCGTGGAGGCGCACCCCGAAAAGGACCCAGTACACTTCTATCTCTACACGGGCTAGACAGACCTCGGTGCTACGGACAGCTTTCTGTTCAGCTTTTGATTTAGTCCACGCCATTGTTTCAGAAGAATTTTACACTGGATAAAAGTATGTTTTAATGGAGCGTGACTGTTAAACTCTTAGAGAAAACAATTCTTAATGAAACTTTTTATGTTAAAATGTCAGTCGATGATGACAGTTGGGAGATATTTTTGATAAACTTACTGAAGAGTGTCCTGTGAAAGGTTTTCTTGGGGGGTTTTTTTGTTTGTTTTTTTTAAGGGACGGTTTGTGTGTATATATAGATATGCCTGTAAACACCTTAAATAAATCTCAAGTATGCAAATTCAGCAATATTGTTTTAAGAAAATCTACCAAATTCCCTGTACTCCAAGCGGTTTTTGAAATAGTGTGCAACAAAGTCCTATAAGCAAAAATTGATGGTCGGAAAGAATGGGAATTAATTTCCCTGTACAGAAGCATATAGAAATAGTAACCTGATTTAAAATGTTTAATATTTCTATGTGGAAATCATTTTAATACGTGTTTGAGCTGCTTCTTCATACTTGGATAAAAATTTAGTTTTCCATTTTTTCTTTTGTCCATACTCTCCAGTGTTCTTCATTTCCTAGAATATGTGGTAAACTTTTTGCTTATTGCTTAAAGTGGAAAACTTGACGCTCTGGAACATTAAAAACTTTAGTATACATTTTTTCTTCCTGTCACCTTCCTTTCCAACTAGCTAGTTAATAATATTAGCATTAAAAATATATATATTTGTGTGTGTGCGTCTGTGTGTATATATACACACACGCACGCGCGCACACAATACTACGTGAGAAGCAATACTGAGCAGTACCACACGAGCAATAATTCATGAGAAGAATCCAGGATTAATTTTAAAAAGAAAACAAAATCAAATAAAAGTCACACTGTGGAAACATTTTACAGTAATCTATTTTTAGGGGTTTGGTGATTATTTTTAAGTAAAGGAATGACAGAAAAATTATGTGAAAAGACAGCTGTCATTTGCAGATGTTATATTAAAACCAAATTTCTCTTGTAATTCATTGCCACTTCTAATTAGAAGAATTCCCTAGTTGCAGGGGATTTATATTATTCCCTTTGTCCATTTATTGAATGACTGTCACAGTCACCCACAAGCAGTTGCAGAAGAATAATAGAGGGTATTTATTTATGTGATAAGCCTCTATACAGGTGGAAAAAAGTCCATAGCTTAAATATTGGTAATTGCTGTTAGCTTCTGTTTAGAGTGGGGTTTTTTGTTTCATTTTGAATTTGTGCTAGAGAAATGAGTACTTGTAAATATTTGACTACTTGTAAATATTAACATTCATGATACATTTTAACATTAAGATTTTCTTGTTTTGACATTGCAAAATCTGTTATATATGTGTAATTCCAGATGTTTTTCATTTTTATGAAGTGTTTGGGCTTTTTACCTAATACAGCCTTTTTATGAAAAGCCATAAGCCATCAGATTGCATTGTTTGGTAGTTACCTCTGAAGGTAACCCTAACATAACACAGTTTTAACATTTTAACATCATATACTGGAATAGACCTGTTAGCATCTGTCCCAGCTTTGTTTTTGCGCTGCTGACTTTGAGAGGTTTTAGTTTTCTGCCATCTTTACTTTCCACAGACCTGATTATCTTGGATCAGCACAACTTTGTCCTGTAGTGAAGCCCATGGAAGGAGTTTACAGAGGAATATCTGATACAAATACTTTCTTGCAAAAACTCCTGCCAATGCTGTGTTGCTCATCCGGTGAGCCAGGGTCTCCTGTTGCGCTATGCAACATGAAAAACATCTCTTAATGTCGACTCAAAATGGAATATCAACTTCAAATTCATAGATGAATTTTATTAATAGACATCATAAATTAATGTTTACCGAGCTGAGTGTTCTATAAAATATGCTTATGCATGTAAAGTAACCTTGTAGCTCGAGTTGGCTTGGCTTTATATGCGTTGTTTTTATTTTGGGGTCTGCAGGTGCCATTTTTTGGTCCTCTCTTTGACGGAGCAATAGTGACTGCAAAGCTGCTGCCAAGCCTTATATGTGCCACGTGCATCAATGCCAGCAGAGCCGTGAAGTCTCTCATCCCACTCTACCAGAGCTTGTATCCTTTCTTCCTACTGATGTAATGCACTTCTTAGGTAGGGATCTTCATTCCTAATATCCTTCTGTTAGAGGTAAGTGTTGATGAGAATCCTTCCAATTTAATTTTATTGAAAAAAGTCAAAGCTTTCTTCCTGTCAAGCTCAATGTTTTTAGAATCATTCGAACCCAGCTGTAATCCAGGGTTTTGAAAATAAAGTCATAACATCAGAGGAATTATTTCACCAGCAGTTTCGGACAATCTTGCTCATGGTAAATTTGGACTTAACGTTTATGCTTTGAACTGTAAGGGACGATAATCTTCAGTTTCCCATCATGCTAATAAAATAGTTACCTACAGTATGTATTAGACTAATACACAGAGCAAATTGTATTCCCACCTTCTTATTCCAGAAAGTAGTCTCATTGACTTTCCGGGGACTCCTTACATGAGTAAGATGGGTGGGATTTGGCCTGTGATTTGGTTCAGTTACCTAAATCAGTTTTTGTTCCAGGCATGTCTGTATTTAAGCATTTTCAGAACATGTTTTCTAACAGCTATTGGAAGATAACTAGATGGTATGGTTCTTTATAATGAGCATGTAGTATTGACTTTTATTCTCACATGATATGCAGACTAAGAGCATCAAATCACTTGTTACCTGACATTCTGGGATTCTTTTCTCATAATGCCATAATTATGCTGGAGACGTTTTATAGTGTGTTTTGTTAATCACGTCACTCCAGTCTCAGGACCAACACTCACTGCACTTTACTTTCTTTGGGTGCTTTTCATATGAGGATTTTTCTAATCATAGGAGTCTGAGAAAGAGTTTGGAAAGAGAATGTTTTGGTCTTTGAAATAATGTAGTTTATTTAGTTTGAGACACGTTTTCGATACACGTAAGATCTTCCAAATACTATTTTTTTAAAAAGAGGCTGCTTTATCCAATATACTTGGCAAATATCCTCAGAAATTAAGAGCAGCATCGTAGTTAAATGAATTAACATTTCATTAACTTACTTTGTTTTAAAGCACGTAAACAATGAAGTCAGTGGTTGTTGCGTAAGCAGTTGAACGCAAAATTATGGCAGTACTTAACAGCTATTTAAAATTTGCTAGGTTTTTCACTTTTGCTTAATAAGAGAAATCTAGCAAATTACTAGAATGCTTTTATGTGCAACTTCAACTACATGTGCCAGTGGATTAATCTACATATAACACTAAAACTACGGTGTAGTAAAATTAACATAAATAACAGAGCTTACAAAAATGAAAAGATCCTGTTGCCCCATACTGTTATCCTATCACCTAACTCCCAGCAGAGTCCTGTGATTTTTAGCTCCTGTTCAGCTTATAGCTTTCACATTTTGTGAGCGAACAACTTTCATCAGCCTGCTGTGCTCCTGCTTTCCTGTAGGGTCTCTTTCTAGGTCCTTATTTATCCCCACTGAAACACGAGCAGCACAAACATGATAGCATATACTACTTTTCAGCATATGCTTGAGACTAGCTGAAACAGTATCTGTCCCCAGATTCACAGTTTCCCTTTTTGTGTGTGCTTTCGCACCTGAGATACCTGTAGAGAATCAAATGCCACTTCTCTGTATGACAAATGAAAAGCGAAAGTGGATTGAGAGACTTCTGAAACTTAGCAGAGATCCTGTGGTGGAAGGATCTCATCAGGCTGGCGCTGGAGTAGAAGAGAAAGCTATGCATAAATGTTTCTGCTAGATAATTGAACACTTTTAGTACATCTTTGTGCTTTTGCTATTAAAATTTTGAATGGGCCAGAAACTTGAATTTAAATTATAGATGCATCCATACTGAAATGGTGAGGTGACATCAAACCAGATGCATGTGATACAAGTCAGAAATCCTTTTCTAATTTTCATGCGTGATATGTGGTGGTCTGAGGGTGACTTTATAACCTATTTGATGACAAGGGCGTAATGTATTCTTGTTGCAAATCCTATGAGTTTCAAAAGGAAATGTTTGAACATGTCCAAGATAGTAATGCTGGTTTATAGCTCTTCCCACTGTATGCAAGCTCAGTGAATGACTTTGCTCTCTGGTGTTCACTGTACTAACTACAACTGAGAGAACAGAAGAAAAGCAGACCCAGCAATTTAGAAGTAATGAAAGAAAGTTTAATAACTTTGTCGGGTTGGAGAGGAAAATAGTAAGGAAAACGATGAGTTAACTGCATGCAAGTGTGAGGTGTTCTGAGAGGCAAGGGATTGTGTATTGTGCTGCAGGGAGAAGATGAAAAGACGTGAAATGACAATAGACTGTCTGCAGTTCCTCAGTTAGTTTCTAAAATATAACAATGAATATATAGCAATATATTAGGGAAAAGGTGTTCTATAAAGTTTTAGACCAGCTTAATATATATACTTTAATTAGGATTGCCACAAGTAAATGCACACAGCTGAGTTTGCAGAAGTGGACTCTTAAATTATAAATGCTTAGGATTTTATAAAAAGTCATTTTATTATCTTTGGAAATTATAGCAATTTATTTATTAATTTGCAGATGATAAAATGTTGAAGTGCTTTATACTCAGATGGTGAAAGGAAAAGGATGCAACAGAGCCAAGGGGCTTTAGTGGCTATAACTAATGGATAAAGAGTCAGCTTTACGAATTATAAATGCACTGAAAGTAAAGTGAATAAGTCCATAATGTTAATAAGAAGGTGAAACGGTGACGTTCTGCAACGTGTGAGACGTAACCTTGCAGTTTGGATGAAGAGAGAAAAGTTTGTGGTAGCGTTTTAAAGGATGAACTGAGGAGTGATCTTCCGGTTTTCTTTGTAGAACGAGTCATTTCAAAAATCAGCATTGCTGATAAGAGTTAGTAGTTAAAAATGTTCTTGATGCAAGTATGGTTAGAAATTGGTAATTGCGCAGAATAACTGAGAGAAGAGTGAAGACTGCTCTGTCCCTGCTTAGCTCAGATCTTAAACGCTCCATTGTGTTGTAAATAGTTCAAGTAATATTGACTAATCTAAGGGAAATCAAGAGGCAGTTGTAAAAGAAGCAGGAGACGGGAGGGATCGGCTTATCTAGTGACGTTGGAAATTTAAAAATAAAACAAACCACTCCTGCTCCACCTTCCCTTTCTGCCACTGTTAAGTTGGTGGTACTTGCGTTCAAGTTGTGGCACAGCGTAAAGTATTTACCAGGTCGGTATTCCTAACGTAGCAGATTGCACATAGCAGCATTCGTACTTTTAGCTTTTACGTTTGAGGGTGGGAAGTGAATAAACAGTTGTGGTGCCTGAAGGGAAGTGGTCTGCATCCACTAGGTAGTGGGCTGTTAAGTTCTGGCAGCCTCATGCAAATAATGACAGCTGAAGTCACTTGTTGGAAAGTCTGTAAACTCTGGTTACAGCTGCACTTGTCAGTAGCTTTAAGGGAAGTGTAATCAGCCACAGAGATTAATTTGCATCTCAATTAGGAAAGAGTCAGGAGGAAGCAGTAGGGTCTGTTGCTAGAAGGTTGTGGAAGAAATCTCATCAGGCACAAAAGCCTCCCAACTCTCAGTCCTCCAGCTGAGTGGAGGACAATATCTGAGCTTTAGTTACCATGGGGACCAGAAGCCTGCGGAGCCACAGAAGAATCTGTGGTTTGCACTGTAATCATTTGGTCATGATGACACAAATTCCACTGTTGTACCCAAATATATTTTTCTATTGGAAATCTCTTTGAAAATGAAAAAGGTAACTATGGCAGACCACAAAAGATTTTTTTTTTTCATCTCCTTTTTGTGTTGATGCAGCTATTTCTGTTTTAAGGCATTTATTTAGAACAAGAAAAATATGCATTAAAAATTAACTAATTCAAACTTTAGCCATTCTGGCTATACAGGTTCCTTTGTATAAGTCAAATGGTGTGTGATGGCATTACACAGAAGCAAAAACAAAATTGGTAGGTACAGTCGAGTTGCCTTGTGTATGGCTAAAGCTCAGTGTTCTCTGCAAGTGTAATGTTTGCATGTTAGTGGGTGATTATACATTAGTATATGTTTAACATAGTCATTTTTTCAGAAGTGCATTCATTCTTGGTGCCCTGAATTATTGAGACTGAGCAGCTGCAGACCATACTAAATGGCGCTCTCACAAACCTTAAGTAACTGTTGAGTGTTAGGTAATGTGTTTCAGGAGGAAGTCTCACCATGCTGCTTTTTCAGGCAGTCATTTTTATTTTAAATATGCTTTGTATATTTTATTGTAAAGTTATGTAAAAACAGAAGAATAATATTTAAACTTACTAAAATTGTTGTATAGAAATGTCTGCACTTATGCAACTTTTTGAGAGTATTTTGAGAGCCACCCTTATATTTGCTGGGAAAAGGAAAGAACAACTAGTCTGTCAGACTGAAATAATTATCTGTGTTGAAACTAAAGTTCCTTTTAACTGAGCCCAGCTAAAGCAGAGGTTGCTTGTTGTCGATATTGGCTTTAAGAGTAATGCAAGTCTGTAAGCAGAATGCCCTAGGGGTTAAGAGCAGGGATGAAGAACAGTGCATTTGTAAGGCTTTAGTAAGATTAGACACAAAGAAGGAAGATACGGCAGTATGAACTGTGTGTAAAATATATGATGCAATGTAAAATTAATCCAGGTTTGAATAAATTAACACATTTTTATATCTTTCTCCTTGTATGAACAGTTTTTGTTTTCAAAATGTCTTGGTCAGTTTAGAACTCTGTAAATGCAGTTTTCTGACAAATTTAAATTGGGATACTGTAGTGACAATACTTTTTTTTTTTTTTTTTTTCCTTTTTCCTCTTTGAAAGTATGCATGGAGGTGGGAAGAAAGTTCTTTATTGTATGCAGGCTGCTCCAGAAGATCCAAATCTCTTCATGTTCTACATTCGTTGCTGTTTGAATAGAGTAACTGCCTAGGTACACTGTCTCATAAGAGGAAGTTTTTGACTTTTCAGTCTGCGGGTGGAGGTGCTTTTGTGTACTTGCTTGTGGTTTACTTCAGGGTGAAATTTGTGTAGACAAATTGACCTT